CCCTTCAATTGTTTTGGCTAAGTCAGTGGCTGACTTGTTTTTACTTTCTTTTGTTCCACTTGCTGAAACCTCGCTTTTTAGATTGGGAAAATCGACTGATGAATGGGGAAAACTGGGGAATACACCACTACAAGGATGGGGGGATTGAAGCACCATGAAATGAACATTTGCTGTAGACAATATGAGGGGGAAAGCTGCCGAATGAATGGTCCGTTGATGACCAGGGGATACGAGGGGCTTCTTGGACCAGAAATGGAACAAAACGCATGATGTCACTGGATTTATCCAGCTAGCTTCAAAAGCACATTTGCAGTGTGTTACTCGTGTTTGCCAGATTCAAGCAGACACTTGCTTGTTGTATACCATTTTGGGGGGAGGGCTACCACGCCCCACACCAAGGGGCAGCTGGTTCTTTTTGCTCCAGATGTGTTTGTATGTCCTGCCCCAAGTTGCAGGACATTGGAAAACTGGACATTGACGTCGGCACCACACGTTTCAAAGCTTTGCAGTCCATCATCAATAGCGTATGGTGCCCAGTCAGGAGTTCAGGCACTGCTGCTGATGCTATGCGCTATATGGTCAACAAAAAAAACATATGTTCCCATAGGGGATGGTAATCAATATAATTATTCATAGGGATTTAATGGGATTTACAAACCATGTTTTGTCAATATTATTTCCATGATGGGATGGATGACCGTACCCAGTATAGCATGTAACTTACTCATGGCACATATGATCCTGTGAAAATCAGTGACAGTAGTTGGGTAATCGCATGTAATCGCTAAAAGCACTGGAATACTGTAGTTTCTGAATAGCACCGTCACACATCAGGCATCAATACCTGGTAAAACCAAACGGCAAAAAAAAAAAACGCCGGAGGGTCTGCGGCGCCTCCAGTTGATCTGAGGCATTTCTTGCTTTGCTGAGACATGTTTTGTTTTCTGAGGCGTTTTTGTTGTAATCCTTGTTTTTCATTGTTTTTCCTCTAGAGTATTCTGGGATGGGTAAATGACAGCGGACATTGTTTTGATTTCAATACCTGCGAACGCAAAGCCTTGGCTAAATTCAATTCCAAATCTCAATAGTGTAAATCACTTAAAACTGGGGGCGTAACTTCTGCGTGGCTAAAATCTGTCAGCGAGACTGTCATTGCCCACAAAATGCTGTCTCACTGGAATTGTTTGTTGCTTTCTGGCATTTGCAGCATCTGTCCAAAAGGCAACGGAAGTGAATGCGACAAAAATGGTTGTCATGATACAGAACAAAGGTAAACCAGGAAAAACATGGAGAAACTGAAAATTCAGAGGACAGAAAACGGCGGAAAAGGGCGGGAAAACGGAGGAAAAGGGTGGGAAAACGGCAGAAAAGGACGGACTCTGAAAATTGAGGTCCAAAACCGGAAGCATGTCCAAAAGGTTGTATCACGGATTTTGATTCTTCTAGTTTTCTTCCTACCGTGAAATTTTGTTGAAAGCTGCAATCCAAGTGATTCAATGTCGATGCAAGCCAACGCTTCAAATGTGCAAATATGAAAACATATACTGTATACTGTATATACTCTAGGGCTTGTTTTCTGCATTGTTTTTCTTGCAGCGTTCATTACATAGGGAAAACATAAGAATTCCTTAGCAGTACGTGCGGCTGTTTGTCAGGGGTTTGATCCCTAGTTGTGGGCTTTGCACCTGCAAAAGTCGCCATGGGAGTCCTAGGGCTTTGGTAAACTCTTGTGTTTGAGGCGTTTTTTGCTTTCCAGAGGCGTTTTTAACCCACCAGAGGCAAAACAAAACTCATGCGGCGTTATTTTTCGCCTCGGGGGCCTGGGGCACTTTTTTTTGCCTCTGGTGTTTCTAGGTATGTGTGCCTGCTCCTATGTTGGTCTAATCTTGTCTAATCTACGGCTAACCCGACCGTAATCCGAACTAGACTTGTCATCTAATTGGTTTTATCTAGTCTTACCTAATCTTAGTCGTATCTCACTTTCTATCTGATGTTTTCTAATATGATTTAAGTTTATCCTTCTATCCATTTATTTCTCTATTTGTCTATCTATATCTTTCTAACTTTCCATATATCTATCTACCTATCTATCTATCTATCTACCTATCTATTTATCTATCTAATCCAATCTAACCTATCCTACCCTATCCTCTCCTATCCTATCCTGTCTACCCTTTCTATTCTATCTGATCTATCTGATCTATCTGATCTATTTGATCTATCTAATCCATCTAATATATCTAATTTATCATTTCTCTAATCTATCTAATCTATCTAATCTATCTAATCTATCTAATCTATCTAATCTAAACTAATCTATATACTCTACTCTACTCTAATCTATCTATCGATCTACCGGTTTGTCTGTTTGTCTAGCTATAGTTCTATTTATCTATCTATTTGTCTATCTATCTATCTATCTATCTACCTACCTACCTATCTATCTATCTATCTATCTATCTATCTATCTATCTATTTGTCTATTTACCTATAAGTATATATACACAGTGTCTATCTTGTATTTTTTTGTCTATCGTGTCTATCTTGTATTTTTGTCTATCGTGTCTATCTTGTATATATTGTCTCTCTTGTCTATCTAGTCTCTCTAGTCTATCTACCTATCTATCTCTTAATCTTTGCGCTATTATACACGACTGTAGTTTTACACCTTCCAGGGCGTCAGTGTATCAAGAGCTTCGGAAGAGGGTCCCAAGTGGTCCACCAGCTGCTCAGATCTACTGGCGCTTTCTACCACAGACGCGCGATATCAAGTGAGCCCCTCCCGGCCCGGTGCTTGTTTCACTGCGAGCAGTGAAGGGTAGGACTAACAAAACAGCCAAATCAGGATGGTTGGGTTGCCAAGGGAAACAAGTGAGAGAAGGTTGGTTCTATTTTTGCTTGGAAACTGCAATCTAGCAGTGCCTTGCGTTTCTGAAATCGGCCTTGATTTTTTTGTTGTCCGTTTTTCGCGGACTACTTAATGAATGCTGTTTCACCCACCAAATTCCATTTTATATCTTCTCAAGGTTCACTCGATTGATGGAAAATACACACCACATATAATTATTTATAAAAATCATGAAATCATGAAACCCATCCAGCAGATTGCGATTTTGCATGTTTTTCTTCTGGCTGCGGATAGTTGTTCCGACTGAACTATTTTTGTTTGGTAAAATTTTCCAACAAAGCCCTTTGGGTTTGCCCAACAATGAGAGATTCCCTATGGCAATGTTCATGGCGAACATGACCTTCCAAAACATGGGGATTTAGCAAAGCCTACCAATGTCTTAAACCAATCATCAAATATTCCACAGGAAAAATAGGATGGATGAAATGCCACGGCACCTCAAGATATCAGTTGATCAGTTTGTCCCCCTTCCCAACTACACACATATATATATATATATATGATGATAATAGTAACAATAACAATATACATATTAATAGTTCTATAATCATATGTGTATATATATATATGCATACTTACCATAAATAAACCCTGTGGGGCTACCCCAAACCTCCTGGGTAGGTATATTGCTTCCCACTACGGTGAAGCTTGTGGGGCCTTCTTTCGCTTCCACTCGACACTGTTGCTGATTTCAGCTGGGATGCCAAGGAAAGGCAAGTGGAGCACCAGGACTTATTAGTTTTGAATATTCCAGTTTTGATGGTCAATAATGCCATGATTAATTAACTTATATAGTCCAGCACATGGTTAATTGTGCAATCAATACCGCCCAGTGATTAGTTCGTACCGCTTGCAGCACTATATATAGCATATCTTACAGAGTCGCATTCAGGCCAGTTGACCACGTAACCAGACCCATGCACTTGGATGTGCATCCCAGTTTGTAAGCGGGTAAACACCACATGACAACCACTTACATGATCTTTCATATGTGGAATATCGGTTGTACATGGGTCATGAAGCAGTTTCTGATGATGCAACCCCTAGGAAACCATGATTGTATCATCCAAGTTTGGCGGGACTTCCTTTGAACTTCCTTCTAATACCAATTCTGGAATATCAGCATATAATGTAGTATAAATTGAAAATGTAAGACAATGTGGTGTAATATAATGTAGTTTTATGTATATAGTATAATGTAATATAATTTAATATAATGTAATATAATGTAATAAAATTCAAAATAATGTACTATAATGTAATATAATGCAATATAATGCAATATAATGTAGTATAGTTATAATTTAAGTTAATATGATGCAATATATTGTGATATGATCTAATACTAATATTAACAAAAATAAGAACAACAATAAGAATATACATATATATTTAATATAATATAATATAATATAATTTAATATAATATAATATAATATAATTCAATACAATACAATATAATATAATATAATATAATTCAATACAATACAATATAATATAATATAATATAATATAATATAACAATACAATACATCGGGCACACATTTGCCTTGGGGCGGGTGGAACCAGTTGGGAGACCCCATGGCATGGCCAAGGTGATTACCTTGGTATCTTACTCACCCCTGCTGGTTATGCAGCTGGTGGACTATTGGTCTCAGTCAGGGCGCTCGGAAATGGCTCCAGTTTCTTTCGGAAATGGATCCAATGCTGGAGTTTGTTTCAGGGAACTTGTTTCCAATGTTTATTACGGACAGCTTTCACATGTAAGAAAACGCAGTCCAGTGGTAGATTTGGAAAAAATCTCCCTGTGATTTTGATGGCAAAACTGCTGTGGTAGACCTTGCCTGCGCTGCGAGGCTCGGGCAGAACTGGTGTGGATCCAGTCACTTGGACCGATGGCGACCAGCATGGGGACTGGGCTATTTGTTAACAAGGAGACAGCAGCTGATGAACGCTTACATCTGATATTTTTTTACGTAACCTAGTTTATCATCTTTAAAGATAAAGAAGTGCGTGATGAACAACACGACCCATTGGGCTGTGTGAGGTATTTCATTGTTTATCCCGGTCTGTTTTGGTCTGAGGCATCTCGGTTGATGCCAGGTAGTCTGCCAACATCTTGGGCCATGTCACTGAACCGCCCGTGCCATGGCAAGCATTCCATTGCGGCCACCTGGACTACCAGCTGGACTACCAGCTGGGCTACCAGTGGCACCGCTGACTTCCCAACGCAGACTGAAACTGGGAGCGTTTGAAAGGCATTGTCCACCATTTCCATCCAAGAAAAGTCCATGTGCCTTACCATTTTTTTTTTTTTAAAGACATATTGGATTATGATCCTATTTGTTTCCGGTTGACTTCGCGCACTCAGGAGACCAGTGGTATTTCCAAAACCGCCCGGCCGTCCGTACCGGGTCCAACGTGCCGCTGGCGCGGCATTCGTTGGAGTCATTTGGACTGCGGCAGCGGCCTCGCTGGCGGTGGAGAGCAGAACCACGCTGGGGAAGAGGTGGGGATATGTGAAATGGCTGAGTTTTGGGATTGTTGGAATGAAATTGTTTGAACCCTAAACCATCTTAAACTGATAAGTTCATAGGTTTTGCTATGGTTTTGATAACTTGGGGCTATTTCGGAGTATCAATAAATCATCCGATTGTCGGGCTAGCGGCTAGCTATGGAGAATTTCGAACCCCAGATTCGCCCCTGGATCAAGTCCTAGAATCTTAGAATCGTCAAACTATGGTTAGCTGATTGACGCTTGGTATTTCTATGATTTGTTGTTTGGAAGAAGAGGCAGTGATAATCCAGTGGTAGTCCATGGTAGTCCTACCCTTAAATCGCACATTTATAGTTGATTTACCTCTTAAAAATGGTGATTTTCCAAAGCAAACTGTTAGTTTACCAGAGGGTAATATCATATCTCTATCACAGGTTTCCCTGACAGGGTGACAAGTCCCTTGCTGTCGTTCTTTCTTGGCTGGATGTTGAGAAGCTTGAAACTCCTGCCACCGATGCATCCAGTGTCCTTGGATGGCATTCATCTTCTGGTTGTCCTTAATTTTGGCGCGGAATTCCCTATAAATGGAGGTTTATAGCTGGGAAAATCATATATAAATATCAATGATGGATGATTTAAGCACTTTGGATGAATTGTTATGATTGATCCAAATTTTGTTTGTTGATGTTCATGCCATTTCATGCCATTTCATGCCTATGATTGTCCCGGAACGGAAGAAATTCGCCAGGTATGACAGCCTTGCATCGCGGTTGCTTCCTGCAGCTTTGCCTTTGATGGTGCTCTCTGCCCAAATACGACCGCAGCGATCCGTCTCACGAGATAGGCAGGGCATGGACATGGATAACACTGATAATTCATTAATTCATGGATAATTGTGTTGTAATAGTATATTAGTAATAGATATACTTAATGGATCTTAATGGATACTGAATATATATATATATATATACTGTAACTTAATATGTTAATGGTTATTTAATAGATTATTAGTGGATATGTCAATTTTGAACTTGTGTGTTTCATGAACTTATGGCTCTCAAAGCCTTCAATCAAAGCAAGCCATTTTTGTTGAAGCCGGCTGAATACTAGGGATTGTTGGTGATGACCTTGATGATGACTTCGGGGATTGTACAAACCAATTCAGAAATTGGGGATCAACCAGTCACAATTTATATTGGGAATCCCGTTCTTAACCAAGCAGTATAAAGGGAGACCGTTTTGGCTTTTGAACATTGTTCAATTATGTTCAATTGATTTTCATGTTTTCCCATCGTTTCAGGCACGATCTTTTTCTGATGCTCCTGGCCTTTAGCGTGTGTTCGTTTGCTTCCTGTGGTGGTGCGCTGGCCGCCTTTCTGCTCGGCCGTGCATGGCTGGATGTGCCGCGGACTGTGGCTGCTGGGCAGTTCATGGCCTGGTGATAGTGAAGAAATGGGGTTGGTGCCCTGAAACATGGGCTTTTGTACAATGTTTTTGGCCAGCAAAACTGTTCTCTGAACAGTTGTAACAGTTGTAACCAAGCATTTGATGGGGGGTTTAATCCATGAAATAACATTTCATCTTAAGCCACCAAGATGGTTATTTCAACATATATCAACGGTGGATCAACGGTGGATTTCAGGCAGCAAACACAGCCAAGAAATATAACTTTGATTGCGCCCACAAACAGGCAAGGAGATGTCATTTGGTTGAATAGGGATCAGTTATAACTTGTTATAACTGTTTGAGAGTATTTCCGGTGGTTTGCAGTTGTATTGTATTGATGTCCATCCCAAATTTTTGGACCATAAAAATACCCCAAAAAAACCAAGGCTTTTGGGTCCATGTCACCATGTCCATGGTGGGCCTTGCGACGGTCAGATTTTGTTAAACCCACTCTTGATATTTTTGTTTAAATTACCCTCTGGTAAACTGTCACATAACAATGGAAAATCACCATTTTCAATGGGAAAACTCGCTATTTCTATGGCAATTTTCAATAGCTATGTTAAATTACCAGAGGGTGCATGTGGCTTTTGAACCCCAGTGTTTGATATTACAGTATCTTCTGGTTTATCACCACATTTTTGTTGGCCTGAAGCGGCTTCAAGTGCTTCCTGGCCAGGTTTCCAAAGTTTGTGGATGCCTCACAGCTACCTACATTGGTGGCAGTGCCAATCTTGCCGAAGTGGCTTTCGACTCCGGCCTGGCCAAGGAAGGGGGCGGAATTTTGGCGTGTTTGGCAGCGGCGGATGTCTTGCTGATGTGTTTCTACTTTGCGGGTTTGGTGTTGGTGCCTGGCAGCATAGCTGTGTAAGCTTTGTTTCAATCAAGTTGTCATCAAGTATGTGGAAAGGGATGAACATCCATGGGTAATCGACAAACCCATATACTGTATTTGCAAGATGTTGCCGTTGAATGTGTTTTCTAAATTCTTATGATGAACTTGTGTCTTCTTCTTTTCTAATGGCCCCAAAGGATGGAAACGTGATCTCATGATATCTCATGGAATGCTAACATCCACAACATCAGGTGGCAAATGCGTATAAGCTCGGCAAGCAAAGAGCTACATCAAAGGTGTCGAGAGCGCCTTGGGATTTGACCACCTCCAGGAGATCTTTCATGGACAATGTGACGCTGGGAATTCAAGCGTGTTCAGAGTGGTTAGAGGTCGATGATTTGACTTGACAAATGCCAAATTATTATGTCATTCTCTCACTGTTGGATACAGTATTTGTAGTAATTTTATTATCCGGCATTATCCACATTTTGATTGGCTACTCTGCCAAAAGATTATGATTTGGGTGAGGAAAGACTGGTTGCTTCACTTGCCAATGGGAATGCTGGCACTGTCCATCCCGTTGATCTCCAAGATTTTGGCGGCAGACCTACACGCAACTGCTGCGACTTCGGCCATTTCCGTGGCACTGGCAGCTGTGCTTTGGCAGAATCAGCCGCTTTTTGAAAGACACTCTGGAAATTAGTAAGTAGCTGCGAACTGTGGGCTACACTCCCCTTAAAGATTATACATGATTCTCGTACATATAATATATACATACATATATATATATATATACAATATGTTATATTTGTATAATTTAATTAATCTATATACAGTAATTATATATATATATGTGATATTATATACATAGTATACATGTACATACAGAATAGGTTGTGGCCGAGTCACTGATCATTTACTAATTGTCAGCATCATCCTTGTAGAAGGTATCAGAAAAAAACATGTAATTAAATTATTTTCAAGAGATTTGCAGAAATGGTGATAAGATAATAAATTACATAGTGTAATCCATTACATATATGTATATATACACTATATATTTCAGATATTTTTTTACCATAGAATGCATAACAATATATATATATATGTATATATATGTATGTATATATATGTATATATAATGTATATATATATATGTATATATACTGTATATATATATATATACTGTATATATATATATTAATATACAATACAGTTATTTATAAATTAAACATAAACTAATGGACTCAGGTACATTGCTGACACGCTTGTTCTGTAATGTTGCTGGGATGCCTCCACCGAGGCAATTGCTCAGTCTGGACGCCGGATGTCAGTGGAGAGACGAAGAGCTGTAGCCAAAAGCACCACTTACATGGCCACGTTGTTTCTGGGATGCTTCTACACAACACTAGGCCAGGGGATGGAACATGGTTTCAGTGATCATAGACCTGATCAATCAACATGTTTCAGTGTTTTACCCTCTGGTAAACTAACATAGCTATTGAAAATGGCCATTTATAGTGAGTTTTCCCATCAAAAATGGTGATTTTCCATAGCTACGTTAAATTACCGGAGGGTAAACATTTTTTAATGAGGCATTTGTGCTGGCAGTGGCATTGGTGCTGTTCATATTTTTCTCCTTTCCACAGTGGTCTTGCTGGGGCACCTCGTCTTGGCCTTCCTTGGCTGTGAACTTCTCAATGTGGCCTGTGGCAGGAGGACCTGTGGTAACCTGGGGTAACCTGGACTTCCAGAAACCATGTGGAAACGGAATCAACTTAAAAAGAATGGGGTGTCATATACATTCATAGTATATCATAGTATGCACATGTATATATATATATAAGTTGTACTGTATATATGAATATAGTTATATACATATAATAAATACATATATATATATATACATAATATATAAATGTAATGTATATATATATATGTATGTACACATATTATTTTATATGTGTTTTTTAGATACAATATCAGTACATGCCAGCAATGTCGCCAGCTATGTTTGTGATCACTTCCGTACTGTATGTTCGAGAGGTAGCCTTAGAATGAAACCTGCACGTTGGTTGTACCTGTCACGTGGATTCTTATGTTGTTCTTGCTTGTCAACTCGTACAACATCGTTGTTTGTTGCATCGTTGCAGGATCATCAAACTGCCCATTTTCCTGGTAGCCAGCAATGCGGCTGTGGGTGGACCCTCCACAGCTACAACCTTCGCAGAGTCCCTGGAATGGACCGAGTTGGTTGTGCCAGCTGCAGTGTGCGGCACTCTCGGCTATGCACTTGGAACGCCTGTTGCATTTGCAGCTCAGATGGCCGGGTTCCAGTGGGGAAACCTTGGGTAGTTTCTGATGGTTGACATCTTTTAACTGTTAGGAACGATGAAGGATAACTGCATACCACCCATCACCCAGCTCTCTTTTTAAGCCAAGATGAGGTTAAGCAGCACAACTCTTGATTTCATTTCTTGGACAGTCACAGAGGTCTTCGATGGCAGCAAATAGGACCCATCATGCAGCCATGTTATCACCATGGCAAGCTGCAATCCAAGAGTTGGTTTCGCTTAAAGTGATGCCTGTTGCAGACGACACTTGGCTGAGGCATTGATGAAGTGTTTTTCCTCCTTCACATGACCAGTGTGCTCCTGTCACTTTCTATTGGCCCTTGGCTTCGTCACCTGAGTCGCCGCAAAGGGTGGTGCAAGGGACTTCAGATTGGTGCAGTATGCTGCAGTGCCGCAGTGGAATCCTGATGAGCTGCGCTCTTCAACAGGCGTCAGAGCACTTGGCTGATCGGTGGACTGCGTGCAGTTTCTATGGAGCCATTGGGGCTGCAGTGGAAGCAACAACTCTATCCATTGCATGCTGTTCGTGTAGAACAGATGTATATAGATAGGTTGAAAAATTAAGCCTCCCCAACCACCATTGACTGGCTTAACATTTGAGACCGGTGAAATTGTGATTGATATGTTCGGTAGCTACTTCTGCGTCTCACTCTCATATCTCTTCGGAGCTTTTTGATTCTTTTGTTGAGACGGTGTCAACTTTGTACCCGAACTGCGGCCCTGTTCAAAGTGGGCAAAAACAGCTGCTATGGCTCAATCTCTGAGTATGGCTCAATAGAATAATCATCCACTACAGTGCCCTCAAAATGGAAGGTTGATCCATTGTGGACGGCCGAACGCAAACAAAATCGGATGATCCAGATGATGATATTTGGTTGTACAGTAGCAAAGCTGGTCTGATGGTACATGCCCTAAATAATGGTCAGTCCTGGGAATCACCCCTTCATGACCGAAAATCCTAGCTGTCTGTGCTGTATCAGTGTCATTCAGGATCATTCAGCTACAGTGTGGGGCTTTCTTGGAATACCAAAACCATAGATGATCATAGATCTCCTTTTCCAGCTGATTGCTGCACTGAACTTTCATAGAGGAGCCACTCCCCAATCTTTCACAACCAATAGATATCAATAGGCATGTGGCAGTCCGTAAATGGTATAATCACCAAAATCAATCAGATGGGTTTATCTGAAAACAAGGTGAATTGTCTTCAGAAGTGCTTTGTGAACGCAAAAAAGTTCTGATAAACCAGTGGATGTGGCGGTATAGCCTATTTTATCAGACACACCCATTTTTCTTAGTCGAATCCAAGGCATATTGTTATATTGCTGGTTATATACAGCCCATTATATCCGTGATATCCCATGAAAACGACCGTTTAAGTGGTTAGACCGCGTGGTAATTCAACATAGCTAGGGAGAATCGCCCATTTATAGATGATTTAACGACTCGAAATGGTGATTTTCCATGGCAAACTCTGGCAATTTACCGGAGGGTCAATTCGCCCATGAAAAAAAACTTTTTTTGACTCCCCGCCAACGTCAGCTTGCTGAGGAAGTTCGCAGCGAAGCTTCATCTATCAACACAACGTTCATGTGTGAAACTGCCAAGGCAGCTGGTCAAGTGCTTCGCCCTGACCAAGAATTGGCTTTTTGGCAAACGCAACGATAGCATCATTCGTCTGACGAAGTCGATCAGCACGACACTGGACAAATGCACAGCCAACATGAGCATGAATACAATATGACGACTGGGATCGACCTGTCTGCCTGCTTACAGTCACTTGAGCAGTTTTCCACAACGCCTGCAAGCTCAGACGAAACCACTTGCACCGAGCCCTAAAGCTGAACCTCTGTGGTAAACAGTCCAAATTAACAGCAGGGTTACGCCACTTGCCAGAAATGAGCAATGGGCCAAAATGACCGGTATGCCGCTGGAAATCAACAAAAAGCTCAGCAAAAGACACCCACTGGGCTCCATCTTGTCCAGGCAGAAAAAGCCCATTGCACCATTGCACAAGCACATCCCCATAGGCTGCACCATAAACCCCAGAAAATTTCCGAGGCAAACTCAGCGACTCCTGCCATCCCCAAACACCAGGGCGAGCAGCAGCTCCTGCTGGTACAGCGGGGGCAACAATAGGCTGATCAGGCGCCACATCCCTCATATCTGGGTCAGAAAACCAAGCCAGGTTCACAGCAACAATGTGATCTCGGATGTGACGACCAACAAACTCATGTCTGCTCACAAGCTCCACATGTTTCCGCCAAAAATCCCAGAAACTGCTGCCGCGGTCCTGATTGCAAACAACCGCTGCTCTGTCTGCACACAGATTGTGATAGCCAAGCCACAAATCTCGATGGGATGAGGTCTGTGCCAAATCAACATGGGCCTTCACCTTGACAAACTGCACCCTGGGACCTACCTGCACAAGAAGATCCGCAAGCCACTGCCACAAGTCCGAATTATGCACGTTAGGTTTATGGCAACACACCCCATGCTGCATAGCACACGCTCGAGTCACAACAGATTTACAATCACTATAGACAACGATCGGCCGAGAGGTCAACGCACCATAAGTCAAGGCAGCGCAGACTGCATACAATTCAGCTCGAAATGCTGTCTGAGTCAAGCCTGAGAGGCAGCCACCACCAGCCACATGACTGGTGAAAGCGTCAGAACCAGAACAGGAAGCAGCGACACAGACGCTCCAAGCAGCAAGACGATACGCTGGCTCTGACGGCCAAAAACAACTGCCGTCAGTGAACAAATGCAAAGGACCATCGCCAGTCAAATCACAGACACAAGATGGGACAACATCAGGCAAAGCAATGAGACGACAGCGCCACTCATCAGCAAAAGGGGACGACAAAGTCCAGCCATGCACAGTCAGGACAGGAGGCAAGTCATCAAGCACAGACAGAACCTGAGGATCCAAAGAATCCCGCAGGTGTTGGGTGGAAGGACATTGCCAGTACCGGTGATACAAGGTATCTTCAACTCCACAAGCCCGGCACGCTTTGTCACCACTAACCGACCATTTCCAAGCGACATCGTTCGCAAAGGCACCACCATTCAAATTTTTCCGAAGAGACCCTTGAGAGCTAGCATCACGAGAGTGCAAGTCAACAGTCGTGGCGCCAACATCAACCAAATGAAATGTGGAGAAGGGCGCACGATGCTTCACATGTTCACTCACAACCAGCTGCCAAGCACATGCAACACGCTGAAGCAGCTCGGAAAAATTAAGCAAGTGCAAAAAGAAGCTACCAAACCTGTCAGTGACTAAGCCATCAACTCCCAACTTCCAACCAAGCTGATGAACACGCATGAGGAGAATCTCAGCAACACCATTAGGGGCACCACCGAGCCCAGCAGCAACGTCATTTAAAGTAACAAGCTGGTCAGGAGCGCACCCAAAGTCACGAAAGTCACGAAAGGTCGCAATGATAGCATAGAGTTGTGGATCCAAATGCAAACCTTCCAAGATCATGTGGAGATACGGGCTCGCTTGCGGGCGAGCAGCGTCAACCGCACGCATGAACTCAGTGCGAAGTTCAGCAAAGTGTTTCAAGCCAAGCACACTAGCACTGATTCCATGAAAAATTCGCGGCCAAGCCGCAGTAACCACAACACGAACCTTTTGCTTGTACGCACCAAAAGCACCCCGCAATTTGTTCCAGAAGTCTTGGAGGTCAGAAATCCGAAGCTGGATAGTCTGGTTCCGAATCTGCCGAGAATACACCACATGGGCCCCCAGGTCACGCCCTGACAAAGACACAGTGAAACCCGATTGGCGGAGCTGCCGACGAATGCCACGATCAGTCGACCAAGCAACAGTTTTCGAGGTATCCAGCGTCAAGTCAAGCAAGCGAGCGAACTCCAAGATTGAACGATTGGCACGCAACAAGCATTCAGCATCCGTCGAGACAAGCTCCCAATTGTCAACATAGCTGAAGCAACGGACCCTAGGAGCAAACGCAGCAAGCCAAGAATGAAGAAGCTGGTTTATCATCAACATGGCCAAGCAAGATAGCCCGCAACCCTCTGGCACCCCACAGGTGCTGGAGACTGGGGGCCCAAGAGAATTGCGGACCACAAAGCGCCTCTGCATGCCACCAAGAAAACCAGCCCACGCCTGGACAATCCCAAAATCAACCCCACATTTCAGAGCCAGTCCCAGCACAGGAACTCTCGGCAGCGTGTTGAAAGCTTTAGTAAGGTCAAGAACCAACCCGGAATGAGCAACATCATGCACATAAGAATCCTGAACGCAATCCACAATGACACGCCAGAGGTGGGCCGCGCGGCGGCCAGGTCGACTGCCAAAGAGATCATCATGCCAAAAGGAATCCAACGTGTGCAACCAGTATTTGGATTGAATCGTAGACCAGACACGGTAAACCAAACTGAACACGCAAATTGGTCGATAGTCATTAGTACCAAGGGGGTTTGCAGATTTTGCCAAAGACTTGACCGCTCCAACACACAGTTGCTCTGGCCAAGTGCCAGTGCAAGCAGCATGCTTGTAGAAAGCCAAAATTTGAGAAACCTCAGAAGGGCGAAGAGACTGAAGGTCAAGTTTGGATACACCATCAAGTCCTATGGCAGCACGATTCTTTTTGCCCGCAACAACAGAATGGAACAAGTCCACGGTAAGATCAACAGGAGGAACATCAACAGGTCGCAAAACCCGATCAGCAAACGCAAAAACCCTGTTCCAAGCTTCCGATGGCATGTCAGCATGCCGTTGCCAAAAGGCATTCCAATGTTCAGAGAAGGCAGCAAAAATGTCATGCAACTGGCCACCAGCCCGGTGTTGGACGACCGAATCGCCAACATCGAATCCAGATACATCAGGGAGCCACAGCTTATCATGTTCAACATGAATCGGATCAACAGGACGTCCCCCCACAAAGGTGGGAAGATCAGCAAGAACACCAGCTGGCTCAACTTCAAGAGAGAGATCATCAGGATCGACAGCGGAAATCACAAAGTGACAAGGATTGACCAAAGTATCAACAGGCAGGGGCATGTCACGCTTAACTACCTTGTACAAGGCATTCACATCCCTTGACCGCTTCAAAGAAGCAGCCCGACGAGTTTGTTTGACAAGGACATTCTCAATTTTCCGAGTCTCAAACTCCACCCGCTGAAAAACACGACAAGCTATGGCAGACCCAGGAGCAACCAGAGGGAGATTCAACGGTTCACCAACATTGCGATCCAAGTCATGCCACCATTCTGCAAACGTGGGCTTAAAGCCACGCGCATTCAAAATGGATTTCCACAAGGCAATGCGATGTTCAGTATGAGAGGGAGAATGTTGCAAACTGGCAGCAAGGCGAGCATATGACTGCAAACGACGCACTTGACGAAACATCATAGAGTGGATCCAAGAATGGCCAAGAAAGGTAGGCTGCAATTCCCCACGCCGACCACACTTTGGAGGGGGCACATGGTGACAAACACACGGGTGAAATCGCGAACCACGACCAAACTGATTGGGCAACAACCGCCGGTTTTGGGAAGCAAAGACCGCAGAAGCAGAAGCTTCAACTTCCTGCCAAAAGCGACGGTAGCCAGCACTGGGGTCGGCAAGTGCATCAGCAACAGGTGCTGCAGGCCGGCGAGCATCAGCAGCAGCCCAATTGATCTTATGAGGGGTGGGCCAAGGAAATTGCACAAACGCCGACGGAGAAGCATCAAACTCAGCAACCAGGGCCGAATGATCAACCCAA